CTCTAAGTTATTATTGATTAACTTAATTAATATAATTTACATTATTAATACTTAAGTAAATTAATTAAATAGTTAATTGTAAAATTAGTGCATAAATTAAATAAATTAATTAAAATTATTAAAAATTAAACAATTAATTATATAATTTAACTTAATTGAATAATTAATAATTAAATATTAATACAATTATCTTAATTAATATAACTTAAAATATATATTATTAAATATATAATCAATAGTGTAAATAATAATTAACGAATAATTTGTATTTAACATGTTATTACTTTTTTATTAATTATGACTAGAAAGTCATCGCAGGAGCAAAGTCGAACAACCACGAAGGAGTCGCAAAAGCGACAGGTGCAATCTATACACCTGCAAAGCAACGAAGCCGAAGAGCAACGACGAAAAGAGAAGATGAAAGGAAAATCATACAAGCCTCTAAAAGTTATTATTGATTAACTTAATTAATATAATTTAAATTATTAATAATTATATTTTTCACATTTAAATCCCTAACTGCTATAAATCCTGAAATATGTTACCAAACAGTTTCTCAGGATTTAACAGGATTTAACATTTGGCATACCAAACAGTTTTCAGGATTTAACACATTTCGGATTTACTAAATCCGGATTTAAAGGATTTACTAAATCCCACTAAAATTAAATCCTACTTGTGGCCAAACAGCCCCTAAGTTTTTATTTATTTCAGCGGATGCCACATTCATTAGAAGAATGACATCAATGGAAAACCATACATCAAGACACCTCACTTTCAAAAATATTTGTATTCATCTCCATCCAGTTTCAGCCTCATTATTAGTATCGATAGCTCAAAAGTAGACCCATTGCATTAAAACCCTAATTATTAAGGGAAAATTCCAAATAGGTCAAAAGTTAGAACCTTAGGGTGCTACCGAACGAACCTGGCTGAGTGCGCAGTGGAAAACAACGATGTCATTGCCCTGGACTGCTCCCACGAGATTCGGGATTCTCTCCGAGAAGCTACCACTGGCATAATGATGAGAGCCGGCGATGTGGGCGTCGTAGCTCCTCTCCTCGTCTCTAACGAAGAAGAAAACAAAAATCTAAAGTTAGAAAAAGAAGGATTTCCACAGCTTTTATCGAGGCGAAATCGCATCGGAGTTACCGGACGTCAACAATCGCCACCTTCGCACTCCGGCGCAAGTTAATTAGCTGCGAAGGTGTAACGTAGGAGAACCTCAACGCCATTCTCGGTCGAGCCGATTTGACAAAGCAGCAGAACCCCGGAAAATTCATAGAAATTTTACAGGAAAGCCCTCAGATTTTGTGTATTTATGGTAGCAGTAAAAGTCCTGGGTCAGAACGGACATGCTTATCTGCTACCGTAGATCGGTTGATGCAAGCCAGTGGCTGAGATCTGCTGAAGGTATGGTAAATATCATATTCGGGAATTTTTATTGCCTCAGGTTATCTGACGTAGAGATACATCATGTAGCTTATAATATATCGCCATGTGCTCTTACTCTTTACCGTGCGGCCCGACGACCCAACCCGGAACGAATCGGGAATTACTATGTTCGAGTATTGCTCGGTATTTGCTCGGTATTGCTATATAGGTACTACTCGATATTTGCTCGGTATTGCTAGGTACTACTCGGTATTTGCTCGGTATTGCTCAGTATTTGTTCGGTATTGCTCGGTATTTGTACGTTTCGTCGCTTGAGGAATTGGGGAATTGGTGTCGGAAGCCAAGCAGGCGGAGCTCTGGTTTGAGACTGCCGGGAACTACCCTCCTCGTACATCTTCTTACGCCGGATTATAGGGTTTCTCATTTGTTTTTTTGGTGGATTTCTTAATGTTTTTGGTTGCTCTTGTTCGTTATATTATTTGGTTCTTTTATTTATTTTTCAGCGTTGCTTGATCGTCTTTTAAAAAAAAACTTAGGGCAGTGTTTCAGAATTCACTGAATGCTGATGTTTGTTAGGGAGAAACTGAGAGGGAAATAGTTGAGCTTTTGTTAAATATTGCTGAAGGTTTTAGGAAAATAGATATTGATATATCATCAATAAATTATCTTGACAGGCCCGAATCTCGATGCAATTTTGAGTTGTAAGCTTCCAAAATTAAATTCAGGAGCATTTCAATTCCGATTTCAGCGAGCTTATAGTCAAACTGAGCGTCTCGGAAATACGAACCCAACGACACCAAACTCAACCCAATCCGAGCCCAAATGAGTCTGAATCAAAGACCCAAAGAGTTGTTGGGAGATTCGAACCACAATTTGAGTTACCAAACGGTCTCCGATTTTCACGAGCTTATACTCGAATCGAACGTCTCAACGAGACGAATCCAACGAGCCCAAGATCACCAAATTCCGACATCATCAAGGCCTTCAAATGTCCAACGAATGGTCCACGATCAAGCGATTCAATATCGACCGTCCATTCAAACCACTCCCGATTTGCCCTTGATCTCACACCTATTTACAAGCCATGTCACTCCAGAAAAACTATAAATAGAGCCCTCATTTTTCACAAGATGGCTCAAGTGAAGAGAAAGGAGAAGAAGAGAATGGAGGAATTTGGGAGCTCTCTTGCCACCGACCACCACCGGAGTTCTTGCCGACCACCTCCGGGGTTCCTGCCGACCACCACCGGGGTTTATGCCGACCACCGCCGGTTTTCCTGCCAACCATTACCGGGGTTCTTGCCGACCACCGCCGAGGTTCTTGCCGACCACCACCGGGGTTCCCGCCGACCACCGCCAGTTTTCCTACCAACCATTGCCGGGCTTCCTGCCGACCACCGCCGGTTTTCCTGCCAACCATTGCCGGGGTTCCTGCCGACCACTGCCAGGGTTCCTACCGGCCATCGCCAGTTTTCCTGCCGATCACCGACTGAGTTCTCTTCTAACCGTCGCTGAAGCTTATCCCAACTACTGCCTTATTTTGGTTGGTTTATCAATCATCGCCAGATTTTTATCTGTTACTAACTTGTTGTAATTCTGACATCTTTAAGTAAAGGGGTGAATCAAACGTTGTAACCAATCCAGATATAGTGGAAATTTCTCATCTGGGCCAGGCCCCGTGGTTTTTCCCTTTTCGGGTTTTCCACGTAAAAAAGTAAATGGGTGAATCAAACGTTGTAACCAATCCAGATTTTTATAGGCTACCTGATGTATCTCTACGTCAGGTAACCTGAGGCAATAAAAATTCCATATGAGGACTCTCATCTCATGTGAGTTTGGACGGCTGATGTACTTTTAAAAATGTTTTAGAAAGCTTTTTTTTTTTTTTTTGAGAGAGAGAGAGAGAGAATTTTTTAAATTATCATAAAATTAGTTTTCAATCAAAATTTTATTAAAAATAATAAAAAATTGATAATCAAACATAAATTTTAATTGACATCTGAAAAATAAACAAGTAAGAAAATTATTCCAAAATAAGTCTAGATTATATTTACTATAACTTTCTCGTTATTTTCCAAAATGACTTTCTAGTGAAAAAACTTCAAGCTTAAAAAATTTTGTACGAAAAAAATATTTTATAGGACAATATAAAAACTGACTCAAGCGAAATATAAATATTATGAGCCAATTTTTTCTTTTTTCTTTCTCTTTTAACAAATAATTTTTTTCTTTAAATTTAATACTCCATTCCAAAAAGTCTTTTATTTTTAAGAAGAGTGAGATTTAAAATTGAAAGTAAAAATAAAATAGAAATTGCAATTTAATTTGATTAATATCTAAAAGAATTATTTTGTTTTACATATCACAGTAGGCGCAGATTTTCTCATGTGTTGGAATATGCTGAAGAAAAAATGAATGGAGAATTTCGTGTGGTGCGGAAGGCCTTCTAATTGGGCACCTTCTAATTGTGCATAAAAAATGGCAATATATATTTTTAACACATTGTTTGTTATATTCATTTGTGATTGTGGAGAAATTATTACATGTATAATTGGATTAGCATAGGGGTGTTAATTTCTAACACGACTCGAAAATCCGACCCGAACCTAACTTGAAAAATATAGGTTTGAGTCAACCTGTTTATGAAACGGGTCGGTTACGGGTTCAAATTTATGACCCTTTGAAAAATGGGTCGGATACGGATTGACCCAACAACCCGCGGGTCGAACCATTTAACCCGGATCCTGCATGACCTAACCCGATTTTGCGGCTTTTTTTGTCGCGGGGTGTGAGGCTGCGAGCTCCTACCTAGTCATGTTTCTAGCCCTATCTCGCACTGGCCTTGCCCAGACGTCGCAATATCGCGCACGTCACTGGCCTCGTGACTCGGGTATGCAAGATCGCAGACTCACCTGGTCTCATTTTAACTCTCGAGTCTCGCCCCCGCCCGAGATCATTGGCCTCGCGAGTCAAGGCTCTCGCCCATACTCCGTAGTCGCATCTGGTCAATTGGTCTCGCCCAGTCGCCCCCGCCCCCCATTGGACCACTAATCTCGCACCTGGTTAGCGACTTTGGATTGGCATTTTGCAAACAGGTCGCGGGTTGGGTCAGGTCAACCCAGCAATCAGTGCGGTCGGGTCCAGTTAGAAATCCCGACCCGTTTGAAAAATCAGGTCAGATTCGGGTTGACTTATTTATACCCTGGTCAAGTCGGATTCGACCCGAACCTGGCCCGTCGACCAGTTTTGACGCCCCTAGATTGACAAAGTTATCTTGTATTATTTAGATACTTTTAGAATTCTTTTTCATCTATGATATTTAATAGAACATGTAATGTACTCACAATCCTGCTTGAAAGAATTAATGCTATAGAAAATCATTAATATATTATCTTATCTTATTATGAAAATAATAGACTTTGGGTTATGAACAATATTATGTCAATGTTAACATTACTCCATTCAAAAGATATCAGTTGTTGATTGTACTTACAATAATTAGTCATTTTAGTTCATTGATGACTCTAAAAACTATGTTTGTGTATGAGAGAGAGAGAAGATTTGAACTTAAAACTAAGAGACTTAACTTTCTTTCAGTCACTCCCTAACATCTCCAAATAGAGATTATTTATAAGAAAATAAGATTAATAAATATTAGATAACTATCTATTAAGTATAATAACTCTAATTCAACTCATTCTTCCATTCATTCCCTAATGTCTCAAAATTGAAACTATTTATAGAAAAATAAGATTAATAAATACTTAAATAACTAGCTATTAAATATCTAATAACCTCAACTCAAAATGTCTCCTACAAGTATTTAACCACTAACCATAGCATGTCATACAGTCATAGATCCCTAACATCCTAGTTGTTGCGGACTGAAACATTCACAACAGTAGAGAGATAAAGAACTTAACTCCTTAGCTTTTAACGAAGATCCAACACACACAAAGATAAAAGAAAGGGGTGAAAGTGTTATAAGAGACACCAAGATTTTTATGTGAAAAGTCCTGAAAAGAGGAAAAATCACAAGGCATGGACTAGTTAAAATGATTCTACTAATATTTATTGTTGATTACAAATGAGGCTCTTCCTTGACAGAAGGCCTTAGCTTGATGCAACAAATATATATCATATAGAGCACATTACATAATGAGAGTTAGAAGAATCTAGTGATATAAGAGTTACACCCAAGAGAGGGTTTGCAAGTTAATTTGATCAGTAGGACAGCAGTGGGGCGGTGGTGGTCGGAGGCATCGTAGTCGACTAGCAACGAAGGTCACAGGAATCGTAGTCGATGGGCATCGAAGGGGTTGTAGTCGAAGGGCAATGGTGGTCAAAGAGACCATATTTGGAGGTGATGGTGGTCGAAGGGACCGTAGTCGACGGGCGACGGAGGTCAGAGGGATTGTAATCGGCGGGCGACGGTGGTCAGAGGGGCCGTAGTTGGTGGGCGACTGAGGCCAAAATAATCTTAGTGGGGCAACCTTGGTTGGAGTGGTGTATCGATGGCAGCCGGGTGGAGATCCGACGTTGTCCGGCTGCTATGTAGTGGTCTAATGATGGTCAAGTTGGAACTCTTAAAAAGATCGGTGAATGGGAGGTGATCCAGAGGCGGTCGGCGACCGAAGTTGGCCTAGTAGTTATCGGTGGTCGAATGATGGTCTGGCATAAATCAAGCGGAGATCAGCAGACTAGACGAGGTCCAACGGTGATCATCGTTGGGGTATTGGTCTTGCGGCGGGCGGTGGCCCGACGATGTTCGGGTAAAAGTTCGGCAAAGATTGGTGGGCGGGAGGAGGTCCTGCGGCAGTCAGCAGTCCGTGTGAGAAACAGAATTACATGTACCTTTATGTCAATGAATTTATTTCATTATTTAAAAAAATTAGTATTAATAAAATTATGTTATTAAT